TAGAGTAGCAGCCCGAGGTCGATTACTGACGCTTCCACCTTAGACATGAATACAATGGCAAGGCTTGGTGCCAGTCGTTGTCCCATTGCCAGCCTTCTCATTTGTGCGTAATACCTCCCGTACCATCTGAAGAATGAGTAGTTCAGGCACTACTTTAAGAGTGTCACCAACTGCTCAATCGAGAAGCCGTACATGTTTATTGCTCCTTCGTGTTGTATAAGGAGCTCGCGGATGGCTTGCGTAGCGGAGTCATTCGACACGTTCGTATAGAGGGCAGTGACGTCGAAGGACACCACTACGTACGCGCTGATGGGTCGCGCGTTACCTAGACGATCCAGGAACATCTGGGTGTTCGTTAGATGTGCTGGAATATATTTCAACAACTAGATAAGTATTAGGATTATTAACCACGTGAATCCATCCGTTGGCCTATCCACGCAGCTAATGATTGGACTAACCATAAATAACGATGGATCGCTAGACACGGGATCATCGCTGGATACTAACTTATAGGTTTTGATAAGTAAGTACAGGATGGGATATGTTGGTAAGTCAGTTTTGAGATAAAAGATAACTGATGGTTTCTTATTCTTTTGTCCACGTTTTCGACTCCACGATTCTTCTTAGTTTAACTTGTGCGCTTGGTACCTGGTCGTAGTATGAGCAGCAAAAAGGGCCAATCGGCGTCATCGAATTCGCGGCTGAGTGCGATGCTGGGAGTATCCCGTATCANACCTAACCAAAAAACTGTGATTCCCAGCGAGTCTCCGGAGTGAACAAAGCCAATTGGATTACTCTTGCAATCAGTAAGGATAAATGTGACTTTATGTGCCCCATTTGAGTTATAACACGATCAGCGAGGAAAGGGTGCTATTGATGATTCAGTAACAAATTAAACGGATACGGTAAAATCCGGGAGTTCTTGCTATTGAAACTGCTGAGGCGGAACTTCTTATCAAATGAGGAAGACCTTGCTGAAATCCAACGGTAAACTCACATGTTATCGGAAAAACCGAAAATGACCACTGTAAATAAAGCAAATCTAGGCATGTACGATAGAAGTAATGGAATAGCTGCCTGAAGTAAAACGTATTTGGCTAAATTTATTTTTACGTCCACGAAGTTTTGTCTGACTCAATGCCTAAACACTTTAAAGGTTCAACCAGAATAAAATGAAACAGTGAGAATCACCTGTACCTATTGCCTTTTCTCTTGTCATCGACTAACTCAAATGAGTGCGAAGGAAGTCTTGATTCTCTCCTATCAAGTGCTGAAGTTGACCAGTTGGTTCTGCTTCAGCGGTCCAATGGCTACGATTTAAAATAGATCACTTGCATAAATAGGAAACTTTGCTTTGTGGCCCCCAGTAGTGTGTTAGATAAACGCAGCGCGTTTTCATCCTTGTAGCATCGTGAATTCGTGAACGTGCTTGAATGTAGGAGGCATAGCAGAGTTTAAACATTGGGCACATGAACGAGAGTGCTTCATCGCATTTCCACCTCTTCGTTAGCCCTCAATGAAGCTGGCCTCCATTTGGTTGGATGGAAGCTAAGATGCTGGAAACAGAATAATTTTTCGTCAACCTCGTTTTCTTGAGAACCAGTCAAAGATTAGTGCATCGGTGAACGTCGAAATCGCTCAACATTGGTTTCAGCTGGCTAGTGCTTCATATCATAAGACCGAAAAGTAAGCTGACCGTCGACTTTCGCTCAAACCACTGTGTCAATACAACTTTTGTGTAGTAGTTTCTGGCTTCGTTTCAAGTAATTTTAAAGCAATCGTAACGCGCTTTGTTTAGCTTCCTTATTATTTAGACGCTAATCTCGTTGTAGAATGGTCATATTGCAATTTTGAAGTGGTTAAATAGCTTACGAAAGGTTTTTATGTAATGGAAGCAATGGTTGTTTGTGGCAATTATGGACGCCTTTGGCTTTGCGAAGACCTTTCATAAGTCAACAGAGGTCACACAGCGGTGTCGTATTCAGATAATGCTTCAGTGGGCTTCGTTGTTGTTTGATTCCCACCTATTCTACTAATTTCCTTTCGAAACCGTGTTCGCTCACATGGCTACACTTCGTCCAGGTTCCATCAATCACTTTGAGAACGACTCGAGTGAAAACCTTATAAGCTATAGACACCAGGCAGATATCCTGACAAATGTCGACGTTTTGCAGATCTCCTCTTTCATGCAAGAACACGGTCCAGTTTGTTTTCCATTGATGAGAAATCTCGAATTCCGGCATATAACGAGAAGGTGAGCCAATGTGTCGATGAAAACTTTTTGTTAAAAAGAGAGAGCCATTGGCATAATGTACTTGTCCCTTAGCTTTAGCTTGTTCGTTGGTTAAAAGTCTTACACTCCAAATTTCTTAATAGGTACAATAAATCGCTGCAAAAATTACTTAGAACCGATATTGTCTAAAAATTTGCACTTTGTTGTGTTTCAAAGAAATCGCTCAAAGCATTAAATCGCTGTAATATGGGGCTACTGAAGACTGCAACAACAAAAAGAAATGGTTGAAAATAGGTGTTAAATGGTTTCCCGCGTTGATTGTATTGGACTGAACCTTATCGTCCAACTACTTGTGTTCATAGATTCTCAGACTACCCGGTCCTTGTTTTCGAGTTTCCTGGTGAGATGAAAAGCTAGTTGAACTCCTGGTCAAGGATTTTCTTCGTCTTCTCCACTAACGCTGGTAGAATCCTTTTTCCTTAATTTCTGAGAAGACCATGGTAAAGCATTCTCACTTGGATTAGAGGAAGTGAGCCAATTTGCCAGCCTCCGAGTGATACGAGGCTTGATTCTCTTTGCCGGGTCGAACGATTGCCAAGGCAGTTTGGAGCCTCAGCATAATGAACAGGATCACTACCGTGGTGCTTCTCTCTTCCTCATAGCTGTCTAATAAGCAATGAAGGACAAGGAAAACAATTAGGCGGCTTTTTAAAGGAAGGTTCCAATCTAGAGTGCTCTGTGTCTGGAATAGTCTGTGTCGTGTGAAAGGATTTTTTCAATTTTCTAACATCAATTATAAATTACAGTATCCTTTCTCAGACCTAAACCATGTGGCTTCAAGTGGTCAACAACGGTAGTAATTCGCCTAATAACACCATGCCACTTTGTTATTCATTATTTCTCCACAACGGGGCAGTCCACCACCTTGATTCTTGCTAACACATTTGTGTGAAAAAAATCAATTTAGTTCTAAATTAACATCGTTTTCTTTTTGCTGCAACTAGAGCCGAAGCTAGGAAACTTTCAACGCACCTCTATCTCTAATCAATCGTTCTCAATGTTCATGGCTAACTCAGTCAGCATGGAAACTTCAGCACTTATCGTATAGTGCTATTTGCTTTCACTGCATTCGAGAATTTTTGCCGGCACTTGTGGATAAACTCACGGGTAGCTCACCCACCTCTTCTAAAATTGACATACGTATTGTATCTCAAAAACGATCCGAATCTGAACAAACTCCTTTATGTTGGCGAGTTAAGAGACCAAATTGATGCACAGGGTGGAGTTCCCGTATAAGCAGTCACAACCACTAATATACACATCAACCCAAAAACTAGGTCGTCTAGGTAAAGCAAAGACATAGAGCCCATCGCCTTAATTAACATTCACCCGAGACATTTCTTGTAGCTCTTCCGTGCTGCGTTTGATTTCCTCTTCGCTAGCGGGAGACCAAAAAAAAACAGCGTTGTGACTAACCGCTTGAAATGCCCGAATTAGAAGCAATTTCAGGCTAGGAAGATATGTTCGCTTTTTAGGATTTGGACATCAAGTAACCTCATTCTTCTATCTATATTTCAGCTTTGACTAAGCTGATGCCACGGCTAGGCTTGGTGAGCTACCCATAGATAGTTCCTCGTATGAGAAAGTGTATAAGCCAACGCATACGGAGACTGTAATGTTCTTCACGCATCTTAACAAATTGGAAGGCATCAAGCACCATTGATGGGTGACATAGTCGAGCGAAAATTATTGATGCCGACATGAGTTCTCGAACTAAACAGATAACGGTTGAGTGGTTTTCTAACTGACTGGTATGTCTTCCATTGTTTAAAGGCAAGTGACGAGATGGTTATTCTCTCTTTGCATTGCTGCTCCTTCCTGCTGCTTTGCGACCAAGCAAGACAGCGTCCAATGGTTACTGTTTGGTACGTCTAACCAACATATTAAACAAAGGATAAAGCTGTCGACGTTAATCAATTCCTGAAGGATGCGCCATGCATTCGACTTCGTTAAGTATCGTTGGAAGTAATTGAATGCATATCTGGCCTTTTCAACAACCCGCGGCGGCCTACCGATGTATCGAGCCAACGTTGATATCCTCCCAGACAAGCCTGGTATCAAATTGCCGACCCCGGAGGGATAAAAGGCTTGGTGGGCCATGGGCGCAGGAATCGATTCCACCGTGCGTGTTGAAGGGCGCCTCCGACCACTGCGCCACACGCGCCTGCTATCGTACTACATACCATAAAATGCTGAGTGTTTCATAGAAGAACAAACAATAAGATGTTTTAAAAACAGCTTATAAAAATGTGAAAACTTATAGTTTTTCTAGTCGGTGACTATATAGGACAAAGCAAGATGAAACATCGTTTACAACAGCGCAGTCGACATCAGTTTGTCTAAATTAAATTCTGAGACCGATGTTCATCTCATCGGAAATTAAAAAACTTTCCCGCCACTTTTTTGCTTCGATATTTGTGTCCTGCCTCCTTCATCTCGTTCGAGCTCATTATTTTGCATCGAAGACAGAAATTTGTTGTTGTTAACGTACGTGGCAACAGTAATTTCTTTTTTTACAGCTACAGTTATCGATTTTTTTACAGTACTACCAATTAATATTGGGGCCCAGTAAACTGAACAAATGGGGACGATTCGCACTAGTGTGGAATTCGCCTCGTCGTTGCTCCTTTTCGTATCGGTGGTGGTCAATCGTTTTTCATGCATATCATTTATTCAAAAACAAGACAAGAAACCGGTTCCTATAAATACGTGCTGATGTTGTTCTCACTCTGTAACATCCTTTATTCAACGGCAGAATTCGTCGCAAAACCCATAAGTGTGTTTTCTTTGCACTAAAACGTGCTAAGGTTCAAAAACCAAGCTGTAGAAATTGCCAGTTTAATAAAGAACACTGCAACCACTAAATTATTACAGTAACGACGGAAATCAGCTTAAAAGTGGAGGTTGTACTGCGGTCTAAATGATTCTCTTTTTCGAAGAGCAATTATTCAGATATCAGACAGATATAGCTAATATCGGCTTCAAGCATCTTTATTATTTATTTTATTTAATTTGACCCGTCTTCACGTCCACTGTGTCGATCTCAGCACCTCTCACATCCAGTTCGTTTCCTTGCATCCATTGTTCACGATGATTTTCCAACTCTACGTGTGGTTTCAGTTGCTGCTTGAGGATTTTTATTTCATCTTAAACGTCATAGAATGCTCATTCAGCAATCCTTCCTGGAGTCCTGAGGTAGCCGGGCTTTCCCAATTCGATTGCAGAGAGTAATGTTTTTCCGGACAAGTCCGTCACTAATTCCCGACCCCGGAAGAATAACAAGCTTTGTTGGCCCGGAGCAGAATCGAACTAGCACCATGCTGGTGATGACGGACATCACCACCACTGTGCTATGAGCCCTCCTTCATGTATCTTAGCATTTTGAAAACAATGAACATTCTTAAGGTCTTTCATCTTTCAACTCTTATAAATAATATAGTGAGAACAATAACATGTAATCTATTTAAGTTGCACATTGTCTTCTTTATGATCTCCGAAAACTACGAATGTAGGTTTAAGCTAATCCTGTTTTAATCTTTTACAGTACCTCTAGATCTGATCGGAAAAACCTTTGTCCAGAACACAGTTGTTTCTTTTAGCATTCGAGACGTTGTGCACTTATATTCCTAACCACTGTATTTGTTGTCACTTCAGAGAAATTCTTTCCACGCTTCCTAATTAAAAAATTAATTGTTATGTCTGGAAAAAAATTTCACCCAACGAACAACACAATAATTTATTTTTTCCTAGCAATATTGGATTGTAGAGAGCTGCAAAAAAGGAAAAGGTTTAGAACAAATTCGACATTTGTAAGGCAAACCTGAGCTTTGTGTTGCTGTTTCCTCTTTCCTCACCCATGACGGTTTTGTATCGGACCTGCAAAACTAACTAAGTCCCGCATCTTTTTCGTCAGCCATCGACCAGCAACAACAACATCAACAACAACAAATACTAGGCTCTCATCTTTATTGAAACCGAAAATGGTGCCACACTTATCTAATAAAAACTTGCCGATGTAAAAGGCTGTTGACAGCCTGGGAACGCTCAATAAATCTATCACGTGATGAAACGAGGAGTCAACTGGACTATCATTCAACGGCATTCGTGAGGAAGACAAATTCCTTAAATGGCAGCCGAGCTCACGCTCAAACTGCAAGAACACCGTGGACAACAAATATGAGCCAACGAATTAAATGCAAGAATTGCTAATATCCATACAGTATGTCCGTGGCTCATAAAAATGGAGTAAAATAGAGATTGGTTGAAAAGAAGCTTACTATTTAAAAATTTTTGTAATTCATCCTTTAACTACATGAAATGTAGCTTGATATGAACCAGCTTCTCAAACCACCTGGAATTCTCATCAACCGACTTCATCAAGGGTTAATGTGGGATACGAAACATAACCTTTTGTGTCCGCCATTCATGCTGTTTTGAAATAATTGGATTAGTAGCGGGAATTCCTACTTTAACAAACCACTGAGGGAAAAGTCGCAAGGTGTTGAGACTAGCTTTCCGACTGGCCACTCATACAGATCATAACGAACCTTTCACCTTTAAGGGAAGTAGGCTCTTCCCTTAAGAGAAGGGAAGGGAACTGATCTTCTTAAGCTGATGCGAGGTTGGTACAGGTCTCCGTTGTAGTTGTCGTTGTTTCTGATGTTGTTGGTCCATGGCTGACGTTTCGGCCACTTCGCCTTCCTCAGAGCCTGGACGTATTTTATATTAGAATATTTTCATTATTCGGTGAAAAAAAGTTAAAGTATTAATGAAGATCAAACTTTCAAATAGACGCCATATTGAGCAGAAAGACCACTTACCGTGACGTTACGTGTGGGACTGGCCCACACGTAGTTCACGTGGGGTCACGAGCAAGACACACCCCGGGATCAAAATATCATTTTGAAAAAGGCTGCCAAGTCACGCGTGATAGTGAGGCATTCGTCTTTCCGGTTCATCTCTTTGGATTTTTGAAATTTATCCAAAACGCCTCAAGAGTTTTGCGCGTTGATGTTTTTGATTCCCGCTCTAGAATCCGCGCAGTCACTTCAAAACCATCACCGTTGTGCTTTTGTGCCCTCTGCGTACCTAGAGGAGTGTTTAAACGGATTTTAGCTTTCCCATCTAGATGTTCTTTTATGCGGACACAAAGTGGTCTACCATTTTTCCCAATATATTCCTTACCGCATGCGTTACATGAGATCAAGTATATTATACCTACACTCATTCAATCCCCGCCTCTCCCGTTAGGACAGATCATACAATCTTCTGAACTGCACAAACGATCATAGAGACGGTTTCGAGTTTTGCATGACAATTCTTGACCACATTTGCGTCAACTTGGGCACGCGTTCCATTAATGGCCTTCCACCACCATTTCAGCTTAACAGCGGATTTCCAAACATCGTAATGTGCCGCCTGGTGGACACTCTTTCACAGTTAGACGTCAAGCAATTTTTGTGGGCTTTCAGATTTTTACACGCAACAGTCGATGCGCGAAACAATAACAACATCACAACGTTGCTGAGATATTTGCAAAACTCTGGACCGCAGGTGTCTATGGCGGGGAACGAACGCGCTATTGTCCTTTCCGAGAAGTAACGCCTTCACCACCACACCATGCGGGTCCTTCGTTTCGCTTGTCTCTCAGCTACAGCTGCAGCTTAACTGGGTTCTATGCCGATGTGGGCGCTCCAGATCAATCCCGCTGACGGGTGATTGCTGCGGCAAAAGATCGATAGAAATAGCTGAGAGACAGGCGAAACGAAGGACCCACATGGTGTGGTGGTGAAGGCGTTACTTCTCGGAAAGGACAATAGCGCGTTCGTTCCCCGCCATAGACACCTGCGGTCCAGAGTTTTGCAAATATCTCAGCAACGTTGTGGTTGTATTTCGCTTAGTACCCTGCCGCAAAATTATAGTAGGCAGAAAATAAATAGGTATAACATAATAACAACATCGATTTAATTTCCATAAGTGCGCGAAAACTTTCAAGAAATTGTTGTATAGTAGCTACAATGATGCTGGTATATTTGCAAACCTCCTGTTCAATCCCCTTGATGGGTAATTGTCGATAGGACCTATAAGTTAAAACAGCACATTAGCCCTCGGTAAGTGTAATAGCGGATTCGATCTATGCCGCGGACACGTGCGCTCCACAGTTTTGCAAATATCTCAGCATCACGGTGGTTTTAATTCACATCATATCCTGCCATATTTTTTTTATTTGATCCGTCTACACCTCTACTGATCAAATCCAAAAACTTCTCACATCCACTTCGTTTTCTCGCATCCATCGTCCACAAAGGTCTTCCAAGTTTTTACGAATGGCTTCGGTTGCTACTTGAGGATTTTCATTCCATCTTGAATATCTTAGAATGCTGGTCGAGCGATTCTCCCTGGAGTGCTGAGATAGCCGGGCTGGAACGTTCTCGAACGCATTGTAGAGAGCGACTTTTTTTCAGAGAAGTCCGGCACCAAGCTCCCGACCCCGGAGGGATGAGAGGCCTGTTTAGTCCCGAGCGTGATCGAACTAGCACCATGCTCGTGATGACGCACATCACTACTACTGTGCTATCCGCTTCCTATTATGTCATAATGCGTTGAATAGAATTGGCCACTTTCCGAATTTGTTGCGCAGTTGTTGGAGGCTCACTGCAATACACACGGGATCGATTCTCGTGCCACAGGCACACCAAACCCTCCATCCGTCCGGCGTTGGCGAATTGCTGCTAGACTTGTCTAGGAGAATACCAGCATTGGCTCGATACATCAGTAGGCCGCCACAAGTCCGATCGTAAAGGCCCCATATGCATTCAGTCACCTTCAACGATGATTGATGAAGTCCAATGCATGGCACATCCCTCAGGGATTGATCGACGCCTGAGAGCTTTATCCTTTCACTCTGTACATTGTGAACTATTATAATATACTCATAAATTATGACAACTTCAAAATAGTAAGTTGTTTTTGAATCGCCTTGTATACGTAGAGGTGACATTGCGCAGTGGTTCGAATTATTCTGGAATATTCGAAATTCGTTACTTCCTCCACCGACGTTAATTATCGAAGTCAGAGCGGTGATCCTTCTACTGTCGTCTCTCATGCAATCCAACCGACGATGGCTCCTGTCCGGTGATTGCCACATATGATGCTCTTTCATATCATTGGGATCAGCTGATGCATGCATTATTTTTCATTGAAAGGATAGTACCTTAACCTATCGATGAAAGAATCGTAATGATAACATTTATGTCCAGCAGTCATCTTGATCACGTAGTTGAAGAACTTTCTCATAAACGATCATAGACCTCGCGACATCTTCTATTGCTTTCCAAGCAGTTTGTGAGGACCACTTCGAGTTACCTCCTGTCCCTTTCCAATCGCTTGTTTGACTTTTTCTTCGGATCAACGGATTTACACCACGGTAAAGCATGGATGAAAAACCACAGGAAGCATTTCTTAACAGCGACGTCGATTCTCCTCTTTAAATTCGTGAAACGCTCCTTTATCTCGCTTTTGACACACCAATTTGACTAATATGTTATTCCGTAATTCCCAAGGTTCTCAGGTCGTTTTCGGCTCATCTTGATCAGTTTACTTCTTCAAATTGTCGCCGCCGGTGGCACCTGGTCATCTCATTTTCATGCTCTCATCTTCTTTCACAGAAACATTTAAAGTCAAGTTGTCCTTATAATATTTTCATTTGGTTCTTTCTCAAATTTGACGTTAATATTACAAATCGAAACATCAACATGAGTGCATGTAGCACATTAGCCAGAGGTTCCCTGAAATACAAATACGTCTTCCTTTAAATTCCGCGTCCTGGGCTAATCAGACCTTTCATCCCTCCTGTGTCAGGAAACTGCCATTAGACTTTTCTAGGTGAGTTGGGGGTAAAACATTGACTGCCAGTTGTGCACTCGATCAGCTATGCTAGGAATGGACCCGGATGCATGGCGGATCGCTAAGGGCTTTATCACAGCTGAACACCTTAACACTAAAATAGAATTTGTTACGCCATGACTTCAACATAAAGGCACAATTTTTGTTTTCTTTGTGTAAAAGCATGGGAATCATAAAAGCTTCATGACTTTTATAACATTCTAGCAAAATAGTTACAAACTTGGACAATTAGTTGGTATTTCAGACTATATTTCTGCACGGACACACTTATATGGTGTACAGTAATGGTATCATCGAAAACCACATACTATGGGGTTTCCTATGCCTTTGTTTTTTCTATGGAATGTACGGCATGAATACGGCTATTCTCACGCTACAGTTCACCTACAGATATCTCATCGTGTACAGGTGAGCAGCAACTGGACCAACAAACGACGTATTCTATGATCATTGATTCGAACAATGAATTAGAAAACGCACTACAAACAAACTCGTTCATCTGTAACAGAGGATTCAGTGAAGTATTTGTGAAAGAATGAGGTGACAACAAGGAGCCAATCATTAAAAAGACCATTCTAAAATCGATTTTAACGTAAAGCGAGTAAGTTTCTCCCGTCGCTTAAGGACACAGACAGCCAGAAAGTTAGTAATTGAGTCAGTTAATCAATAACGATTAACGTTCTCCGAATTCTCAAGAAACCAATCGATCCATACCGAAAGGCAGTATTTCAGTCGTGATCTAGGAGAGATGATTTGCTGATAGAAGATTTGCTCCTACAATTTGGAATGGTTACGGGTTGCGCTATGCATTCGACTTCATTTAGTACCGTTTAGAGGTGATTGAATGCATATCTGGACTTTACAATGACTCGCGGTGGCCTACTGATGTATCGACCCAGTGCCGCAATCCTCCCAGACAAGTCTGGTACCAGTTTGCTGACCCCGGAGGGATGGAACGCTTGGTGGGCCATGGGAGTGTGGATCGATTCCACGTGTATGTTGAAGGGCGCCTCCGACCACTGCACCACACGAGTCCTATTTTGCTGTACATGAACTATTTTTATTTTCCCTTCGTAATGTAGTGTTGAGGAGGGCGGTCAGAGATGCTATTCAATAGATATTTGATCGCGTGAAGAATATGACACTCTAGTTCTGTGTTCGCTTCAGGTTTTCTGACCTAAACAATGAAAAATCGGCACCTTCAGCTTCAAACTCTACGTTTGAGTCAGAGTCTTTACATTTAAGTGAATAACTGAACAAATCTCTTGCTAATGCTGATATGATACAGACAGGATCTTGTGTATCTTCTGAAGATGAAAGGCTACAAGTTGATGTGGATAGTTGGTATTCTACTTTGGTCGATGAGTTACATGTTCATCACATTCTACTGCTTTGCTGTCACCATTGAGTATAAAAACTACGTACGAACACCGATGATGGAAAGATTGAAAAGAAACATTGACAAAATGTCATTCTTCTGCGTATTTCCCTTTGTGAGTGTTAACGTTATGCATGTTTTTCTATCATCCAAGTCTCGAGTGCTTAAGACTGCGTAGGCGATCCTCTTTCAAGGAGAACGTCAACGAAGAAACGATCGTCCACTGGAGAGCGGCCGTTGGACTTGTTCTTATTGTGTCGCTGATGCTGTTATCACTTATGATAATGTTGTACGATGGTGTGAAAATCGTTCAAACGTTGGAGAAAGTGGCGATGAGTAAAAAAACAAAAGCGCTTCAGATGCAACTGATGAGAGCGCTTACATTCCAGGTCTGCAGAATATCATTAAAAAATCTTCCTTCGTGATTCATTGTATTCTTAAGTTTACAGGAAGTTGTTATAAAAGCTTTGCGGTGGCTGGTGTTTCGTTGCCATAGTCTTCTCTACAGCCTGAATGATCCAAGTCGATTATCCTCAGCAGTTCGTTTCTTCCATGTGGATGTTCTTGGTCGCATCGAGCCGGATCCAGTGCAATGAACACTCTCCAGTGTGGAGCGTCACTCATCAATGAGTTTTTACAAGGACGATTGTTAATCTATTGCCATCCAATCTGATCTGGATTTCTTGGTTGCAAGCAGCTGTCCGAACTACATTTGCTGCCACATAGGCACTGGCAACGGAATGGATATCTCAAAATGCTACCTCGATCCAGAAAGCGGAAAGAACGCCTAAATAATGGCTTAGCTTCTCACATGATCAAGAGGAAACGGTTTTCTTTTCATCTCACCTGGAAACTCGAAAACAAGGACCGGGTAGTCTGAGAATCTATGAACACAAGTAGTTGGACGATAAGGTTCAGTCCAATACAA